TGATTGTCACTGGATCCTCTGAATTGTGAGATGATTAAGAAGTCAAAATGTGAACATTGCTACATCTGTGCAATGATTACATTGTAGGTTGCTCTGGATAAAAGCATCTGTCAAAATGCTGTAAATGTCATGAAAATGTCATAATAGCAAGCTACCACTCCTTTGCACTGAATTGCATGAAAGCAAGTCTACTATTAAACTTTTGACACTACTATGTGATAACACCAGCTACTCCTAATGTACTTTACTACTGCCAAAGCATCTTAACTACCATACTCGACAAAGTTTGGTGGTTTGTTTGGGGTATTTTTGTGTACTTGCCTGTCTTTTGATGCCAGAAGAAATTTAGGAGAATTCAATGATAGTGTGTCCCTGCTTGCAGAGAGTGGCATGAATGGTTACATCCGAAATGGTGTGGAATGAACCAATCAGTCATAAACAATCAGAGGAGAAGTACTCTTAACTTTATTGTCTTTATTTTACAAGAGAATTATCCTAAACGGCCCAGAGGATTGGACTGTAACAGAATATAATATAATATAATATAATAATAGCCGTACAAATGACCACTGAAGTCGTGTCGTCTTTCTGCAGTCAGCGTCATGCCCATATTAGAGTCTGTGTTCTCTTCGACTCCTTAATAACCTTGAAATTCAGACACAGCAGTGCTGCTGGAGTTTTTAAACACTGTGTCCACTGACTATCCTCTCTTTTAGACACATCTATCTCTTTGGTGCACCTTGTAGATGTAAAGTTAGAGACGATAGCTCATCTGCTGCTGCACAGTATGTGTTGGTCATCCTCTAGTCCTTCATCAGTGGTCACAGGACGCTGCCCACAGGACGTTGTTGGCTGGATATTTTTGTTTGGTGGACTATTCTCAGTCCAGTAGTGACACTGAGGTGTTTAAAAACTCCACCAGCACTGCTTTGTCTGATCCATTCGTACCAGCACAACATACACTAACACACTGCCATTACGTCAGCGTCACTGCAGTGCTGAGAACGATCCACCATCCAAATAATCTCAAATAATCTGTGGTGTTTTGGATCTAACCATTTAAGCCACTCTCTGCAGATTTAACACACTTTTTTCTTGATACAGCCACATGGACTTCAATGAGGGGAAGTGAAATTCTATGTGTGAAACTGGATGCCCTATGTGTGAAATTCTCTAATGGAGGATGTTGTAGACTGCTGAGTGATGGTAAACCTTTGGCCTCTTCATGAACTTTGTGGAGTTACAGCTACCACAGCAAAGGGTTGATGTCAGTGACAGTTCACCACCAGAGATGCATTTAGAGTAGAGAGAGTGCAGACCACTAGCTTGATTGTCCTTGATGCATCTTCATTCAGGAAACCCTTGGGATCACGCTTCTCCACATCAATGGTAGAAAAGCAAACTGCATCAGCTCTGCATATCAACAACTGCGGATTAACTTTAGAGAGCCAGACTCAAAGAGAGAGCTAAAGCCTCAGATGGTACAGAATAACAAGTAGCTGGAAACAATTAGAATGATCAGAACATCTCTCTTTAGCTCTCCCCTTTCCCTTTGTCAAGACAGATATCTCAACAGGTTCTGCCACTGTTTCCATTTCATTCCATGATGGACTACACTGTAGGCTATTGATCAGGGTAAAACCTCCTTAGTGTCACTGCTAAATGATAATGTTCAGAAGATAGATATTGATCAAATTACTGTTAGTTTTAAAGGCAATTGCACTGAGATTTACAAAGTAAGGAATGATTGATGTGTATGTTCAGTCCAGTATAGTGTAGTATATTTGAATGTGAAATGTTTCTGTTTGATTTTTATTGCTTTATGTGATCTGATGCACTGATTTCTTAAAAGCACTGTAAAAAGTGCCACATAAAATGGTTAAAAAGTCATTTTTAAAGAACTTACTTTTTATTAATACAAGTAAATTCTGCTTTAGAATTATTAACACCCTTGTTAATGAGGGGGAAGAAGTCATATAAAATGTCTTATTGGTACAAACCTTTATCAAAAATATTTTTAACTAAACTATGTGTATCACAATCACATAACATCCAGATCTTTATTTAAAATCTCCTGGTATGTCATGGAGTCCATGGTGGCATGCATTTCAAAAGGCACCCACAGCACTTGGAAAAAAAAAAAACAGCCACACAAAACCTGACAGATATTCCACAGTACCACTTTATTTTATTTATTTATTTAGTTATTTATTAATTTATTTGTTGCCAAAAGCTCATTTTTTTGTCTCACCTAATCATAGAACCCAGTTCCAGTTGGATGTAGCAAACTTCAGGCATTTACTTGAGGCTTTCTCCTGGCATGCTTTCAAAATAGTTTGTTGGCATGGAGGTGGCATTTAATTGTAGTTTTGGAGACTTATGACCTAAAATACTGCCATCCTTAGCAAATCTCCTACCGTGATCCTTGGAGAAATCTTTGTTTCTCTAACTGAATTCCTCACTGCATGCTACGGTGAAATAAACACAGTCATTGAAACATATTCATTTTTGCCCCAACAGTGGATATGAATATTTCCAGGCATCTGACTATAGCCATTGCCTGAGTTATGAATGTCAGCACACTTTTGTGTTCATTTATCTATGCAGTAGGGATGCCAGATGATATTGGAAATAATTGCTTAAAAAATTTACATTGGACAGATGTTTAGATTTGACCAAAATCTCACATTTAGGCAGCATTGTTTAACCTTTTAGAAATAAATGTTATATGCATCTACCTTGATCTGTAGGCAGATCAAAGTGGTATCAATCTCTACATTTTAGAAATGTTTCTGTACCAGCATTGGAAGATATGGACATGAAAAATACTGGATATTGGCATCAGCTCATAACTTCTATTGGTATTGTGTGTTCTGTTGTCTTACCTGTGTTTTTGAATGAATTAGGGAATTTAGCCTCTGTCATGGATGACTGCTTAGAAGCTACTGAACACTTAAGTGGACTTACAAAACTGAAACATAAATGGGATCATCTGTGTTTGTGTTTTCTTAAATATAATTTATTGCATTTAAAGGTTACATTTTTCTCTTTTTTCAGTGTGTGATCACCTATTTATGTCCATCTCTGAGCTTGCCTGAGCACAAATCTAAAGAAATTTAAAAAAAAAAACTTTTTTAATAAATTAAAGCTGCACTATGTAAGTTTTGGGGATGTGGTGACCTCTCTGGTGGAAATGTATAATTACACACAATGAACATTTTGTAACATCATTTGTACTTCAGACCCCTTCCTTGAGGGGATGAGCCTGTTGAAAGAGCATTCAAAGAGAACCTCAAACCTTGGAGAAGGATGTGTCTTCTGAGTAAGTAAATTATCTAATATTGTCATCATATCTTCATCAGTATAATGTTTATTTTGCACTTAAGACCTGAGCACTGAGCTGGAACTTTCTTTTTGAGCCTGTGTCTTTAACATGGTTTGAAAAACATAATAAAAATCAAGTGAGTACTATAAGATGCTCATCTTAAGTATAATTATTCAAAGGTTCATCACTGGACCAATCAGAACATCCTCATGATTTTGAATGTAGTATAAGACATAAATAGGTTAAACACTGTATTTAGTTAAAACTATGATGTTTTGTCCCACATGCATAGCCTTCATCAGGTGCAGCAGATGAAACTAGTTCTGCAAGTCTGTTTGCCCTGCATCAGCACACACTGAATTGCCTTTGGTCTGGTATTACAATTAATGACTAACAGTGTAATAAATTTAAACACTGCCGTTAGTACTGTGGAGGTATTTATCTTGAAGTCCAGTGCAGACATTTTACCAATCAGCACAATGGCCAGAGGCAAGCAAAGTTAGGCTTGCATAACTCACTGCAATATATTGACTCAAAACTAAGCTTTTTCCTTCTCGAACTGGCCGTCACCCAGCTATCGCACCTTTCCTCGTCTTTATTCTTGACAGGAGACATTTGTGGGCAAAACTACTATGTGTGTGTTTTTATGGTCTGCCACTGAAAGACTTGTTAGCCCTGAAGTAAATGTAATTGGTGCCAATTGACTTTCCAAGTCCACAGTCTGTAGGCACACAAATACTGTTTAAGGCAGGTGAATCAATAGGAAATAATGGCAGCTAATGCAGACGGCACTGTATTCGGGAGATAATGCCTGGTGGCAAATCACTGTACGTGCTGAGCATACTAAAGATCATTAAGCTACAAGTGCTAGTGTGTCGTCCTTCTGTCATTTTGTCAGGCAAAGCAAGCTGAGCTCTAAAGATAAAGATAAACTTATGTGCAAATTTGTTGCGTTCAGCTCATCTTCAACGTGATATGAGTGAAAAATCACTGCCAGGCAAAATAATTGAAAGGATAATGTTTATTTTGATCAGAAATTATGCAGAAATGATGCAAAGACTTTTCAGAAAAAGCATTGTAAACCACAGATTGTCTTTCAGATTCCTGTTTACATTCCTGTTTAATTGTGTCACACTTGAATCAGTGCACTACTTTTTCAGTGTACATCAAACATATCTAACATCTCACATGTTAAGCTATACTTGATGGAGATCTCTGGTAGTAAGTAAAGGTTTTTTTTTGTTTTTTTTTTTTAATTAAGTGTTTCTCCCTTTCCAGTACAACAAATCAAACCTCATTCAGCTTCCTCTGCCATCCTGCTGCAGTCTAATTCTGGATGGAAATGGATGGTGATGAACTGAAATGGTGGAGAAACATAAGGAAACATCTCATCGAGCTAGAAGAAAACAATCCGTATGGCAACATATACCAACCTGCTGTTCACAGCAGTGATTATTCCCATTTGAAGGAGGGGAATCCACCTCTCGCTACAGGCTGGTTGCTATGGATTTTTCTCAAAAGCTCTTAGAATAATGGCACATCCCACCTCTGATGTCACAGCTTGGAGCTGTGTATGTGTGTCTGTGAGTGAGGGAGTGAGGGAGGGAGGGCTGTAGCCTGTTGCTCATGTTCATCAAATGTGCCGCTAGCACTCCACAAGCGCTTGCTTTGCTCACAGATGAGGCAGAGTTGGAGTGAAGAACAGATCGTACTTCTCTTGCTCTTCTACTGACTTCAGTTTTTTCTCATCCTTCCACAGCAGCCTCTACTACCTTTTTCTGAACATCATGAATGCACTCAGCTGTGGATGAACTGAATCCAAACTGCGGTAAGTAAATCAAACTATTGTGTTTTTCTTTTGCGGGTCTTTAATTTCAAAAATCACAAGTGCACTCTGTGGTGTAAACATACTACTCTACAGAATCTGAGATAGGCATAGATGTGTTGCTCATCTTCACAGTATGCTGTAAAGTGCTGTTTATAATGTGTCCATGAGTGCAAAAGAGCTGCAGTATTAATAGTGTGACCACTTGACCCTTTCATTACACCCCACACGAGCGCCACAACGAACTTCACCTGATGCCAAATATGAACATACAATTATCTGCCAACTGAATTCACCCTTATAATTATGATCCTTCATGTACTAATCAATGTGAAGTGCAAACTCTTTCTGTATAGAAATGAGCTTTGCATATTTGAACATTATACATCATCTAAGACTACTGACTTAGTCATCTAATATAAGAAAATGTGCTTGTTTTAGAAATCTTAAGACATTAGGAGATGTTATGATATGAAATCTCAAGGCTTCCGAAGTGACATAAATCTTACGTATCAGGTGTATTTATTGATTTTCTACTCCACATTGTAGTAATGTAATATAACATATACAACATGTCATAACTGTCGGGACACAACCTTGTATCTCAATTTTTGTTTTTTTGGTTTTTTTTTTCTAAAAATTGAAAACACCAGCTGTCCTTTACAGTGTGTGAACATTTCATGATGAATGGACCAAAATAACATATTGGCCTACTTTAATCCCATGGATATTAGTAGATCAGCAAATACACATGGGATTAGCATAACATATGCCACATATTGTCATATATATATATATATATATATATATATATATATACATATATATATATATATATATATATATATATATATATATATATAGTTCAAATATATCAAAAATGGACACTTTACATGACACTTTACACTTTACAAATGTTCTTTAGTTTTAATGTAAGTTTATGTAGAGTTCAAATCACTTTAGGATATATTGGTTCAATTTTCACAAAATGTAAAGGCTGCTTTGCTCAAATGATGACACACATATATATATATATATACACACACACACACACACACCACACACACACACACACATATATATATATATATATATATATATATATATATATATATATATATATATATAAATATGTATATACACCCATATACATCATGATAAGTCCCATATAACACAAGGTATATATATTTGATGCATATTGCAAATAATATTCTGTGTTCTTGTTCAATAACCACTTTGCATTTCCAAATAATACAGAAACACCATAAGAGTGTGATTAATAGCAGACATTTGTTGCAACTGCTTATGTAGATTCTCTCTATTACATCATTATGACTCACATTTTTTGTTCATTGATTTCATAAAAACACTCAGGACTGAAATGGAGACAGTGCTAGTGATTTATGAGTATAATTTTGGCTGGTATTTTGGATATTTCTGCGTGATGTAGCTAATCTTGTTGACAAAAGACAAATACACTGCTACTACTACCACTGACAGCAGTGATAATATGAACCAACAATGGATCAATAACTATCAGACCGCTTTGTTGTTTGATACATTACTATAGTTCATGGTGTTATGTGACAAGTTTACAGAGAATAGAAAATCACTAACTTTTCAACAGTTTAGCATCATATACCACTGTTCTCAAACAAGAGGTGCTAGCATCATTTTTCCTGTCACATGCAGTTGTAGTGCTTTCTGTCTAGAACAGTCCCTTTGATCAGTTGAAAAGAGGAACCGAGTCAGGCTTGTTCAGTGAAAGTTCCAGAACAGCACTGAGTTAGCATTCTTTAACATTGTTCTATTTGCAAATAAATGGTTTTCTCTGGTGTCATGCATATTTATTACCTATTTTGCATATTTTGACATATGCGGTATACAAATTTTCATCTAATCATGGTCTTTCTGAGTTACTGAATGTTAAAGTAAAATGAAATCTAATGTCTGTCCGTCGCAAACAGTCAATTAGCACAGACATTAATTAGTACAAACAATAAATCTGTACTTAGAAAAGAGCAAAAAAGCAGATGATTTAAGACACATTCATAATAGAAACCAATGGGCAGATGCTTCCATTACAGAAATGTTCGAAGTCGACATTTTTTCTGTTCTTGGAATTCCTTGTCCATGGTAATCGACTGTAATCTACAGATGTATAAGATCCGTATCCCTTTAATTTTATGCTGAGTCTGATTGAGCCAAATGTAGTTTATATAAATGTCACCACAGGTGGCTCAGAATATTCGGCCTACATGTCATAATAAACATTATGAGTTGCTTTTATTAAATAGCACCATGTCATTACTATTTTTCGGGCAGCGGCAGGTTTAAAGTCTGTGTCTCAACTGTGAGGAAGTATATGTCGTCAGCAGGTTTTCTACCTGGGTGGGCAGGGTTGTATACATCAGTGAGAGAGACATCGTCTGTCAATGTTGCTCTTGCTTTACATTTGTCTGAAGAGGGAGAGAACTTTGGGGGCATCAATCTGAAAGCCCCTTGAGTGCAATATTGCCATAATATGGCTATAGCTCTAATGGCTAGCTTGAGGTTAGGAAAGCTTCACATTTGCATGTCATGAATTTCAAGTATGGAAATAAGTGAGATGAAAATGAGGCTAGCCAAAATGGATGAGAGTGATTCATGGTATCGATAGCAGTATGTGCAAACTTTCTCTTTCAACTGAGTCACTGGCATGGAGAGAAGTGCTATCAGTCTGTCAGTGTACTGATCATAGATCACAGAAGCAGAACAGGTAAAGCTGGACATTTGTTAGTATTTGGCACATGCATACAGCACCAGTCATCTTCTGTAGCCATATGGACTCTATCATCACCTAAAGATAGAAACCAGCATTCAAAATTGTAGTCTAGTATACTGTGCAGCTTCACAGGTCTGAAATAATGAGGAAGAAGAAGAAGTAAAACAAACAAACAAATCAATCAAACAAACAAACAAACAAATCAATCAATCAATCAATCAATAAAGGATGTGTCCAGAATGATGACCAGAGCTAGAGACGTCTTTAAAAGGCCTGAGAATGCTGTATAACTTCAAGAAAGTATGCATGTATGAATATATACAGTAAGTATATATATATAACTAAAAGTATGCAGCATGCTTTGTATTTCAAAATTGGTGAGCAGGTCAACTAGACAGATAACTTGACAAAATTACTGTACATTAGATCAAATTAAATAATACAATTATAAATAAATGTCATGAAATTAAGCATATCAAAAAATAAAATCACAGTATATTATTCATCATTTAACATAAGTTATAATATAAGTCATATCGTTTAATATAAGTTATTATTGTATATAAAGTAACAAAAATGATTAATATGACAGGATGGGAAAGGATTCCAAACATTTTAGTGGTACACTGTAAACCTGCCTATGTTGGCAGAGCTCAAAATAACTAATGTAATCAGTTTCCTTAAACAGGTTTAGGGTTAATTACACACATGTTTTAATTGCATAATTACTTCAATTACTGTGTAAGGCAAACATTTTCACTAGATGCAACTCAAAATATCTATTCCCATCTCTAAATGTAATAACATTACATTGACTGTAATTAAATCTTCAAAGTAGTTATAACTCAAAATTGCATGAGTGACTACTTAAGTACTTCATGGCAGCTAATTGCCTCAGATGATAAGTCATGAATGGAAATACAGCAGCTATTCAAAACAGTTAAGCTACATTGACTTTCTGCAAGCACATTTGATAATAGCACTATGTGAACATCGGTATCAAAGATAATTTATGAATGGATTACTCCATAAAGTAACAAAATGACTTGACCAAAATGCTTTCAAAATGACCAGAATCACCTGTTTCAGGGGACTATTGATTTTGTGTACTTGTGCCAGTCTAATCAGAAGCTGTTCTGACTTTTAGCATGAAGATTACATGATAACCGAAACCAACAAATTCACTACAAATGCTGGAAAACGCTGCCTTCCAATTGGCTTCACGTCTGCTAATATGACATCAGACATAATGTCAGTCGTGTCAGTGAATCTATCGCAGGCAGCTTCAAACTCCACTAAATCACTTTCACCAGCTTAGAAAGACGAATCCATTGAACTCATTCAGTATGTTTATAACTGGGGAATATATTTTAAGTGTTTTCTACTCAATCCAATGAATTAACTTCAACACTGGGACTTGTGTAGTATTATCATCAGAGAAAGTGGTACTGGCTCTTGCATCTTGCTCTTGATCTTTGTACTATGACACTTTTGAAAAACTCCCTGGATCCATACCCTAGATCTTTTAATGGCCATTTTCAGCCAGAAGATGATTTTGGTTTTCAATCAATAATGACCAACTCATTTGTGCTTTTACTGCAAGCTTTCAAAGGTCTATCTCCACAGGAGTGATGTAAGCTGATTATTAGGCCATGGCATTCTTTTCAAGAACAGTGTGAGGGCCAGCTTTAATGAGTTTAGTTAATTACTTTTTATACATTTATGTCCAGTGTAATAGTGTGCAGTAGAGCATGGGAGTAATTATTGCTCAGCATTCCCAGTCGTCTTAGATCTTCACAGCTCATCATGGGGGGTCTTGACATCCTGTTCAAATAGTGCATTGACCTGCAGTTAAAAAATGCTCAATTATACCTTAGCGGTTCACTGTTTCCAAGTGTTTGGGCACACTTTTCCACATTATGTTGACTTAGTCAAGTTTAATATTTCACAAAACCACCAATTTTCTTCAGTTGTATGCTCTAAAAACTGAAAACACACATTGTGTGATTGTTTAACACGTCTATGTGTCTAGAAACAATGCATTTTATTTTATTTTTAACATAACCAGTGTGTTATTTCCATTAACACAGGCTTTTTTACTTTGGCATGTAAATTCATGACATCTAACTGGCCAATGTTTGCTAACTAGCTAGCCTAGAGCACTCAGGCTAGGATGGTCACAACTCACAACAACACTGCTTTCCTCGCGAACATTTGCTGACAACTTGACACTCTTGTG